GTTTTTCCCTTTGAGTCAGTACTGAGTCCCACAGCACCAGCATGGTGCTGTGGGATGCTGTGCTGAAGAAGGAGATGTGGATCACTCAATGAAAGGTACTTTCACTTTAGAGTGAGTACTGAGTTCAATGCCCCAGAACATTTGAATACTTCAAAAATTAGTTATCAAAAAGGAAATATTTTGTATTAATTATTATTTGTGGTTTGTTTCATATAGTAATGAAGGATCAGCAATGTGTTCACTGCAACTAGGAAAATGGCCACACTTTTAGATGATACAGATTAAACTGTTTCCTGCATTTATCACATTAAAGATGTTGAAAGAGTCCAGACTTGGCTCAGATCAAGCCAAGATTGCTAATGAGATCTTACATCCACCAGGGCAAAACTCAGGTTAGTTCTCAGGGTCTGGGGGAAGATGAAAGTTTCAGGTAGGCGGGACAGCAACCAGGAAAGATTAAGATAGAAGAGTGAATTGTGTGGGATTGAAGATGGTCAAGAGCTTGAAAAAATACATTTAAGTTTGAAGAAGCAAACTGAATAGTTAGAATTGAAGTCAGAGGTGAGGTAGAAATGGAAGTGAGGTCCGGGAAGTAGGGTAGAACAAATCCATATGCATAAGGCATTGAAACCAGATGAGTAAGTTTTTATTTGGATTGCTAGATAGGAAGCTATAACTGTGAGATAATGAAGAATAAAGATGATGTGATCCCACCTTCTGAGGCAAGAACGTAATCTGGCTGCAACATTCTAGACCACCTACAAGCTTTATGTATGATTTCAATGCCTTTTGAAAAGTTCTTTTATAGGAGCATAGGCTACAACATTGTGTTGGATGAATAAATATTATTACTAATTCAAAAGTACATGTATTTACTCCATATACCATAAATAGCATTTTTGCTTCCTCCCAGAATGCCCTAAATCTTGCTTCTCAGGATCCTAAGATATAGCATGCTTCAGGGAGATTTTTTTCAAACTTACCACCGTGACTCTCTCCATCACTGTTGAGATATTGGTAATAGTCATGGGGCTGACGGTAGAGGTCTGACTCATAGGATACCACGTCTTCTGAGGGCTGCAGAGAGAGGAGGAATGGTTAGGCCTGAGAGTCTGGACATAGCTCTTTCACAATTATTTAGATAAGTCAGGGCACAGGATGGACAGAGGGATCTGTCAATGAAGGGCTGGAGAGAGGAGGGTCTTCAAAAGTTCTTATTTTACTATCAGGGAATGAGGAAAAATATAAACCAAAAAGCTCTTTCTGAGAACCAATGGAAAATGATTTTGCTGTTATCTGTGCAATAGACAAGGAGATACTACTAATCCTGCATAGTCCTTTGGTTTGGAGTTGGAAAGAAAAATAATGCAAGGACTTGTGTAAGTCTGTAGGAAAGGCATGCTCTTGGAAATCAAGCACAGGCCACAGAATCATAGAATACTAGGACTGGAAGAGACCTCAAAAGGTCATTGAGTCCAGTCCCCTGCCCTCATGGCAGGACCCAGTACTGTCTAAACCATCCCTGATAGACATTTATCTAACTTACTCTTAAATATCTCCAGAGATGGGGATTCCACAACCTCCCTAGGCAATTTATTCCAGTGTTTAACCACCCCAACAGTTAGGAACTTTTTCCTAATGTCCAACCTAAACCTCCCTTGCTGCAGTTTAACCCCATTGCTTCTTGTTCTATCCTCAGAGGCCAGGAAGAACAATTTTTCTCCCTCCTCCTTGTGACACCCTTTTAGATACCTGAAAACCGCTATAATGTCCCCACTCAATCGTCTCATTTCCAAACTCAACAAGCCCAGTTCTTTCAGACTTTTTTCATAGGTCTTGTTCTCTAGACCTTTAATAATTTTTGTTGCTCTTCTCTGGTCCTGCTCCAATTTCTCTTTCTTGAAATGTGGTACCCAGAACTGGACACAATATTCCAACTGAGGCCTAATCAGCACAGAGTAGAGCAGAAGAATGACTTCTCGTGTCTTGCTCACAACACACCAGGATGCATTAACAGGTGTGTTGTGAGCAAGACACGAGAAGTCATTCTTCCGCTCTACTCTGCACTGGCCATGATGCTGTATTAATAGCACAGGTGAAGGCAGATTGCATGCCTCCTCCCTCATAGTGGTAGAAATCTATTCTCCTCACCATCAACTGTGCAGATTGACGCCTGCCTTAAATGCTGGCTCTGGGTGGTTGTGGGTGGTCTGTGTGAATGATGCTGAAGTTTGAGACTGCTAGTCAGTGGTAATCCTGTGTGTAGTAATCTTGGAACTAAAAGACTGAAACACTTAATTTCTGATCATTTGTTCTAGGACCAGAATTCAGAAAAGTTAACTGGTGCTATAAGCATTTGTATTGTCCTGCCTGACCCCTGTTTCAGACCCCTGGAAAATCCCAAACACTGAGTCCTGGAGTGGGGGTGGGCAAGATATGGACCACAGGCCAGATGCAGCCCCCAAAGCCATTTCATCCTGCCTGCAGCTGCCCTGCCATGCCCCCGCCCCCAGACCAATCGAGACCCAGGGGTGGGGGAACACATAAAGTCTCCTCCCCCTGCCAGGGATGTGTAGCACCAGAGGGAACTGCCCACTGTTCAAAACAGCTGGTGGTTCCCTCTAGATGTCACATGCCCTGGCATAGCAGGGGTGGGATACTTCGTGCGCTCTCCCACCCCCCAGGCCAATTTTGGTCTGGGGGCAGGGAGCGCACAAAGTCTCCTTTCCCCTCCAGGGTGCACAGCGCCAGAGGGAACTACCGGCAGTTCAAAATGGCTGGCGCTTCCCGCTGGGCATGATAGCTGGCAGGGAGGAGAAGACCTTGTGTTCTCCCCTGTCCCCAGGCCAATTAGATTTACGGGTGGGGGAGTGCGCAAAGTCTCCTCCCCCTGCCAGGGGCATGCGGCACCAGAGGGAACTGGCGGTTCCTTCTGGGGCACCACATACCCCTGGCAGGGTGAAGTCGGGGGGAAGGGGAAGAGATCTCCCATGCTCCCCTGCTCCATGGGGAGTGCACGAAGTCTCCTCCCCATCACATGTGGTGCATAGAGGGAACTGCCCCTTCCAGCTGAGGCCCTGCTCCATCCACTTAAGGCCCCACCTTTTCCGGTACCAGCCTGCAACCACTATCAACATTGGTGAAGTGGCCTCCTGCAATAGAGCGAGTATATCGTGTAAGGCGTTAGGTATTTTTGAATAAGTTTGGTGATGCTTAATATTAGTTATGCATAACTCAATGGTTTTACTAAATTTTAAAAAATTAATCTTTCTTTCTTTCTTTGGTTCCCACTCCAGCCCTGTCTAATAGATCCCCAGAGTCTAGACTGCTGCTGACATCATAAACAGTTCCCATTTCCAAACTCAAGATAGCAACAACAATGCAGTAGACTTTGCTGGTAGAGGAAATTATAATTTGGAAGTAAATACCAACATTTCTATAATTTGTTCTTATCCTGAGATGTTTTGACATTCAAGAGCAACACAAATATTGAAAATAGTTTAATACATTAAATGACTCTCTTATTTTTTAAACATCATAATTCCAATTAATATCTTGTTTCTACATTCTGACCTCTCCCCCAGTCTGAGATATTTGGTCTACACCACAGATATGTCCAGATCTGTTCTGCTAGATTCTCTGTCTTTAATATGTAGACTGACTGCTCAGTGATGCTAATTATCGGTTGCAATCCTAGTTTTTAATCAAATTTTGGAACTGCATTAATTGAAATCCTTCCCACCATTCTGTCTTTTCTCCCTTAGGGAACTGAAATTTGGGGGGGGGGGGGGGGGAGGTTAATCCCTTAATGGAAACTTCTGCCAGGCCCCTTCCCTTGTTGTTTTTTTCCCTCAGCATTACAAATGACTCCAAACAGCACAAGAAGACCTTCTTAGGAGCTAAAAGGAGGATATCTACCATAATACCTCCCAGTTTATGTACCCCCTGCTGTGGCCAGGGAAAGGGGCTTAGAGTCTTGACTTGACTGGGTCTGTGTATCCCTCCCCAAACAGCTAAGTCTACCTAGAATTGATTATCTTCTCTGATTGTTCGCTCTTCAGAATTAATCTCCCTAAACTTACCTTCCCCCAATCTAATTCAATGCAAGAGAAAATCTCCAGGATCACAGCCCAGGCTTTTATGTAAGTAATTGAGTCATTTGGCAAAGAGTCTAGTATCTTTTCTCACTCTTCTTACTGCCAAAAAGAAGTGCTAAGGTTGTTCATCTATGCTTCCTCCTCTGTAATTATGTATCTGATCATGGGAACTGGGGCTTAGGGGTTCCCTCCCATGCAAGATGACTGATATCCAAAAGAGAACATCATCCCAAAAGGAAGCAGATGCTCAAAGGATTTATAACCTCTACCTCAAAAGAAACCCCCAAAACAGGAAAAAGTCAAAAAGTCTTCCAGATCTTCATCTGCTGTCATTAGATTGATCTTCTTCCCTAAGGAAAGGGGTACTCTTAGCTTCAAATTATGATAAAACCAAGCTAGAAAAGCAAGAGAAGTTCTCTCACCCATCCTCCCACGAGATTTGTTTGAAAACATGAGGCGTAAGGTGATAACTGTCATTAAGATCCTGCCAGAGCAAATAGATGAGCAGGCTAGCACATGGGGAAAATATTTCCCATTGAAAACTAAAACAGAATTTGACTTTCTCCATTGATTACTCCTTCAAAGATGGCAGTAGGGAGGAGTGTGAAACTCAGGCTACATCTAGAATGCAAACTTCTTTCAGAAGAAGCTTTTCTGGAAGAGATCTTCCAGAAAAGCTTTTTTCAAAAAAGAGCATCAACACAGCAAAAGCGCAACGAAAAAAGCAAAGATAGCGTACTCATTGATTGGATGCTATCTCACATTTTAGTTGTGATTACTGTGGATGGAGTGGTCACCAGAGCACCTGTGCTTTTTCCTGAAGACTTCTTCTGTCAAAAAAACACTCTCTTCCGCATCCACACATGCCTTTTTCTGAAAAAGCTTTTTCAGAAAAAGGCTTCTGCCTCATAGAAAGAGGTTTACTGCTGTTGGAAAAACTCCTCCATTCTTTTGACTTTCTGTCGAAAGAACACAATAGCAGTGTGGACGTAAGTGTAGTTTTTCCAGAAAATGGCCATTTCTCTGGAAAAACTCTTCAGTGTAGACATATAAAGGGGAAAGGGTGAGATGGCAAGGCACTGAAATACTACTGCATCTTAGAACCGAAACAATACTTTTCTCCAGCAACACTGCAGCAGTGGCATTTCTGGAAAAGGATATGGTATTTCCCTTAGAGGAGGATTTCTTCCCAAAAGATAAGAAAGATAGAAGTAAACCTTAGAAGGGATTTTGAAGCTTCTTCAGTGTTCTTCAGAGCCTCCCTGGTGCTATGTAGTTTGCTAGCAATGTTTGTTAGAATGTTCTTGAAAAGATGACCTAAAAAGCCAGAATTCCTAGAACCAAGCTGAAAACAATACTGAACAGGCAGACAGATCATTGCCATGACCTTAGGGAATCCATAGAACAAACTTGTTGGCCAACGGGTAATTTATTCTAAGCAAATCTTCTATGCCTCAATATTCTCAGACATCACTGTTCAGGAACAGCTTGATGAAGTGGTAGATAACAACCAGGATAAGCAGCTGTAAGAAGGCCTGTAGGTTCTCACACAGGGAAGAAGCTATATTCACTTGTACCCAAAACCAGAGATATCAGAAAAACAAATCCTCTTATTTGAGGGGTAAGACCTGGTCCCAAAACACAGACGGAAAGCCCAGATCACAGAATAATTCCAGCCCTCCTTCCAGGTCAGTATGACTTTGGCAGAACCTGCCTTCATCCAGAAATAGGCCAATAGGGAAGTGTATACCAATTCTCATATTTCAGATAGGTAGGTACAGGTCGGAGTATAGCATGGATTTTCTTTAGTGCTCATGGTTTCTTCTCCACATCCTTTCTTCATGCCCTCTCCAACTACAAGTGATCAGAAACACTAAATAATCCTGATTTCTCACACCTTCAACAGTTAGATGGTAACAATTCCTGAAGCCATAAGGGGCTGAATGGTGTACTTTATTTCCTTGATACTGGGGAACAAAA